ATATATATATTTTATACTGTATTCTTTATAGATTATCCAACTACGAAAAGGTGTTTTATACGCAAACCAAGGTTCAGAAGTTATACTCCAGCGCCTACAGTGTCTATGCAATACCTTTTTGTGTCCACTGGATCGCCCGCGAAGTACAGTACCACAGTTCTATCGTCGTACGTATTCTGCGCAACTATATCTAGGGTTGTCAACTGAAACTGCGGAAACTTGTATGGTGTTATATACTTGGGTGCTGCCCTGGGGTTGGGTCTTATAGTAGAGCGCTCATATTCACTGGAAGCCATAGTGTAAACCCATCAGAAGAATTGGAAGAGCTCTACAATGGCGCCCTCTACATGTAGATATAGTGCATCGATATAGCGATATCTTAACAGGTGTTAGCATATGTTGGAACTGATGTACACGGAAGGCTTATGTGCAGCGTACACCTACGCTATGCCTATTTAGTTATAATATTTTAAAAGATGCAACAATACATACTGCAGAAGTGCGTCTGAAATACATTAATAAGATATTATTTTATATTACGTGTCGCGAGCAATAAAAAGCATATCCCCTAAAATGACATTAAAAGTCGATTATGTACTGTGGCTCGTTCTATTTCGACCCGCCAAATTACTATAGCACTAATATAGATAATACCGAACTGTAAACGCAGCGCTGTGTGTGTTGATTGGTGGTCTGACTCCACAACTCTTGCCAGAATTTACGCGGCAAAAATTGGGTACATAATCGGATTTCATCTTTAAAAACCCTGAAACCCTAAACCCAAATTGATGACGCGCGACATTGTAAATCAATAAAAATAATAAAAATGAAATCACAGACATCGGTGAATGCCCCATATGTAGCTGTATCATGTTGTCTCTGCTAGAGTATACAGCAATCTGTTGTTTAGTTTAATACTTTCCATTCCAACTGCTTCGCGAAGTTGTAAAGGTGGATCGGTGTATGGAGGAAGAGTGAAAGGGGAGAGGACGGTGTGCATTAAAGAGTCAGGCTCTGTTTTTTATCGCCTCTGCAGCAGTATCAACTAGTCCAATATATTAGAGAACACTCTAGGTATTAGCATCTTTAGTAGCGGTATCATCTAGGGCTACTCATTGGAATACAGACATTACCAGTTTCTCCAGCTGCTATTATAAATATTTTTTTATAATGGAGCATAGTCGATCAGAACAACGTTATGACAGGCAGCTACGGCTATGGGACTCTCACGGCCAACACGCCCTGCAGAGTGCCAAGGTCTGCCTAATTAATGCTACAGCAACGGGTAGTGAAATACTTAAAAATCTTGTTCTACCAGGTATGTATGTGCATGTATGTTGTTACTTGATGGAAGATTTCTCTGTCATAATCTGTAGGCAATACAGTTAGGCTAATACACTTACTTTGTGGAGAATAGGAATCGAGTGTAAATTGAAATTTTCAGACTGCTATATAGTAACTTAAGTGTCTATTCAAATCCACATATTCATATATACAACATACAGCCACACAATAACATACACACATGTGAATACACAGATGTATATATATTTATATATATGTATATTTATGTATATGTATATGTATATACATATGCATGT